TAACTCCTGTCTAGACTGTTCAAGACAAAATATTGATGAGCCCTTTAATGTTTGTGCAGAGACACAAACGGAGTGAAAAAACCATCGTTACCTCAAACAGTTTAAGACTCCTTATCACACATTCACAAAAAAAAACCCCAAAACCACCTTTAAATCACTCCGGCTCACATCCTTATTGTTAGTCACTGAAGTAAGGTTTTCTTTCATAGTTGGATACTTTCTTCATCTGTCACACTGATTAATTAACAGCTCACAGTATGAGCTCTGAGCTTAAATAGCCTACTGAAATGAGGAGGGGAGATCAGCATTAATATTCCATAAAAAGCTGAAGAAGAAAAATGCTTTCTTCAGTAGGAAGTGATCTGTCTTCTAATAAAAAAGAAAAAAATTAACTAATTTCTGTTTGGTTGCATTATGCAAGAAGATGAAAGCGCATTGCCTGCAAAGGAAGATTGCAGCAGAGGATTAGGAAAAGTTAGAGAAGACTTTAAATGTTTTAAATTAAGCTGTTGGTTGGAAACAAACAGGTCTTGAACACCAGTGAAATAATTTTCATCACCATTAAAAAAAGCCAGTTTATCAACACCCAAGAAACAAGCCTATAAACACAGTACCATAGCATGTACAGATATAGGGGAAAAGGCATATAATTACATGAAATGGGGAGTTGCTAAAACATTAAATCTAAAGCTGTTTTTAGCCAAAACATTTATAGTTTCTCACATACACACCTTTCCCAAACTGTTACAGTCTGGCAATTATTTCAAGAGTTTGACTTTCAACAGCTCGTAGCTTTCCCCCTTTTTTAAACCCCTCCAGTACTGCTGAGTGGACAAAAATTACAGATGCAAGAAGAGCTGACAAATGAGTACAAGGCCCCTCCTCTCCAGTGCCTCGACAGTCGGAGCTCCTGCCAAAACATGCCTGAAAGCCAGCGAGGAGACAAAGACACAAAGATTCCATTTTCCAGGGAAAATAGATTTCATGTAGGAACTACCAGGGAGAAGAATAGCACACTGGCACGTGTGTAGTTTCAAAAGCAAAACAGGAATCAATGTTTCAGGAAAAAAAATGAAATAATATTTGATTATTCAGTAAGCTCAACGAATGCTGTTTTTAACACATGGCTTTTTTTAAACGGCAAAGTGCTACAGGGGGGTGGGAGGCAGGGAAGCTCCTATAAAGCAGGAAAAACATTTTTAGGCATGGAAAACCTTCAGTTCAACATGATCCAAGCTAAGAGTTCACCACTGTTGCTCTAAATCATCTCCTGATAATGCTGTAGTACATGTGCAACCAAAACAAAGCAAAAGCAGCTTTTTAAGCTCAAATCTGTTTGAATGTGTTTACTATTAAAAGATTCTTCCCCCAGGGTGCCATTAATAAAGTTGCAATGAGTTTAAAACCCTGGCACCTAAGCACTTCCAAGCTTGCAAGGTTTTCATAGCAGGTTTACTACTTTTGGCTTCTTAAACTATCATGACTGGCACTCATCACTGATCTGGAGTGGGTCTGCCCGTGAGCAGGGAGATCAGCAGCGAGGTGAGTGCAGACAAGCAGAGCAGAAGAAAAAGCAAGAACATAATTTCTCTTTGAAACTAGTCAGAAAGTTGGAAAAAAAGTGCAACTGATGGTGGGAAGATTTGGGACGATTCAAGTTTCTCACCAGTTTAAAAATAAAAAGGATATTTACAACAACAGCATATGAGATTAAGAACTATAAAATTATTTCAAGTGTGATTCCAGCCCATTAGGACTCAGTAGCAAAAGTAGCTACTGTTAAAAATGAGATCCCACCAGACCGGGAATTCGGGCAGTAGAGGTGTAAAATGGAGGCTTAGTCATCAGTAAGTTTTCAAATGCTCCCAACTCTGATAATTACGGCTCATCATTCTTACAAACTCTCTGCTTATAATAGCCCTTTTTTCTTTTATGTGAGGCTGCTTCTACATATCTGGTGGCAGAGCCACCCAAACTCAGCCTGTCTTCCAGTCTTTCAGCTGAAACACTAATCCTGTATAAACAGAACATAGAAAACTTCATGTAATGAAAATACTAAAAATGTGATTAATGCCCTGAATTGACAGGTTTGCGATTGAGGATAAAATACAACTGCTGAGAGCTCTCTACAGGAGGACTTCCAGGGGCCCCCTGCTCTGCAGAGAGCACAGCAAGCTGTGAGCCCAGCTCTCTACCCACTCCTCACCCTCCCACCCCCCCCTCCCTTCAGCCCAGCCATGCACTGGGACATCTCCCCTGCCCACCCAGACCCAGGCCATGAGCGTGTGGCACAGTTCTCACTCTGAGCCCACTTGCTGCTTCACAGCCCTCAGTGTTCCCTTCTGTCTGCTCCTGAACACTGCTCTGATGATAGGCTTGAGAAAGAAAGGGCTGGTGATACTTTGACTAACTAATCAAACCACTTCAGGAGATCACCACTGATCATTATATAGGGATTGGGATAGTCAAGAACAATCTATGAAAAAACAAAGATCCTGCTAAGAAACAACCCTGTTCTCCTTATTACATCTGAGCTGAATGACAGGGAACATAAGAATAAACTTTGAACATTACACATTTAGTTACAAGTTTGCATTTATCTTTCATTAAATTTATTTTTCATTAAATTTCTTCACATCCCTTTGGCCAATTCCACTATCCTGCCACTTGCTAAGTCTAGTCATTTTTTAAATTTTCATAGCCAGACAGTATCTAAATGCACTTTTTTTTTTTTTTGGGGGGGGGGGGG